AAACCTTTACACCCTAAACCCTAAACTCCTACACTTCTAGACCCTAATCCCTAAACCCTAAACCTTTAAACCCTAAACCCTAAACTCCTACACTTCTAAACCCGAAGCCGTAAACCTCTACGTTATCGACTCTGGGCTCGGACAGGCAACCCCGACCGAGCCGTTCTGTCCCGCCATGCTGGCGAGGTGACAGGGGCAAGGAAGCTAATACAGGGGCCTTAATGTTTAGGGTTTGAGGGTTTAGGGTTTCGGGGGTGTAGGGTTTAGGGGGTTTAGGGTTTAGGGTGTAGGGGGTTTAGGGTTTAGGGTTTAATACAGGGGCCTTATAAGAATTACCTATATTATTTTGGGGGTTCCTTGTTATGATTATAGTATAATATCTATATTCAGCCTTAATAATTACCTATATTAGTTTGGGGGTTCCTTTTTATGATTGTAGTATACTGGGCCCCAAAACCCTATTCTGATTAGTAAGGGCCCTATATTAAGGCTTTACCGGCTCTCTTTTCAGGTAAGAGCATTCTGTTTAGTAGAGAATAGACCCGAAGGGGGGATCGGCAAGATTCAGTTCGAGTAATATGGCGCGCATGGCATAATCCCAGAAGAGTAATGAACAAGATCGGTTCACAACGAGTAGTCTGAAAAACTGCTGAGAGCCGAACACGCCGTAGAGTTCAACCACCAGGGCTTGCAAAACCAAAACGCCACAGCCTAAATCTTCACTCGGCTTTCGGATTTAGAGTTTACAGTTTAGGCTAAACCCGACGCCCTAAACCGTTTCGTGTTTAACGTTTACTGTTTAGCATTACCTTAACCCCAAATAGGCTACTTTTTAGAGGGGTCATATACGGAAATCATAGGAAGGTAGAAAGGAAGATTTTCTAGGGCCCAGGTTCTGTGATTATCATGATTGCCACTCTCAGTGTTTTTGTTATTCTAATGGTTAGTATGATTAGTATTGTTGTTTGTTATTCTCTGATTATCATATTCATTGCCGTAAACCTTAAACCCTAAACCCTGAACCCTGAACCCTGAACCCTGAACCCTAAACCCTAAACCCTAAACCCTGTACCCTAGAAACCCTAAGCTCAAGGCTTAGGCCCCCCATCTCCGTTGGTGGGCGGCGCTGAAGCCCCTCGACCTCGATGGCGCAGAGCGATCCAATACGCCTACCCGCCTCCC